ATATACATTAACCTCTGATGTTTGGATTTTTTTATAATACTATAAATGAATGTTTAAACCCCTGACCCTCGTGCTCGCTTCGGCAGCACATATACTAAAATAAACCCCTGACCCTCAAAAGTAAAGGGCCTCCATGACAGTACTTATAAGAATATAAAGGGTAAACTCTGAATATAAATTCATTTATAGAGCCACCTCAAACATATGTCAATCATAGAGTGTACATTTTCAATAAAGGAAATGAAGAAATCTAGAAATTACCTTGGATCACGGCTACTACATCACAGTTTGGATCAATACTTCCAATGTGGGTTGGGTTTCCTGTCTGTGAGTCACTAAATAAAAGAACTGTTGAAAAATAAATACAAAAATAAATATATGAAAATCAGGACAATCATGATTAGAACACCACTGACAAAGAATGTGACCCACCAAATAGTAAAACATCGAGTTAGAGTATGGCTTATAGTCTACCCTCATCTCTGTATATCATGATTATGGTTAACTTACTGTGTTGGTTCATTAGCATCCGGGTAGAAATACGGTTCATGTAAAATCGGTCCAAGAAATACTGAAGATTTTGGTTGGTGACTGGGTCAAATTCATAGCCATTTTTATATTCTATGATTCCTTGTGCCATTGTAGGAACCACATTATGGTTTCTATTTCGAACTTTGATGAGAGTATCTACAAACCTAAGGCAAAACACATTTATATTTAGTGAAAGTTCAAGTAAGGTTCTGTCACTTATATTTTTTAGATTATTAAGTGCACATATCATTTATTAGAGGAGTATGTCTGGAAATAGTCACAGTTTAGACACTTATTCTAAGGCATAGAACTTACTCTGCTAATGCTTTCTGGTCTTCTGGGCTTTTCTCATGGAATTCCACCAAATCCATCAGGCTCTGGATATACCTGTAAAGTGACAAGTGTGCTTTCAGATTTTAAATTGAATAGTCAGATACAAGTGGCTGAAAATATACTATCTTTTTCAAATGCTTTGAAAAGAGAGAGGATTATGTTTAAAATTAAAAACTCCAGGACATTTGGAAAACAGTATCTCTGAAGAAAGGTGGTGGTGGTGGTGGGGGGTGGTAGTTTATAACTTTAACTCTTAACTATCTAAGTTAAAATTTATATTTCTTTAAGTATTCCAGATCAATATTCAGTTTTGTTTTGTTTGGCAACAGTTGTGTTATTTTGAATAGCAAAAGGATTTAAAAACAACTTTTTAAGAAAGACTTCATATTTTTTTCCTGCTCCCTTCATAGGTGAGTAGAAGTCTTGAACACAGCAAACACTATGGATTGAATCTGTGTTTCAGATTGTGATTGTTGAATGGACATATAATACATATTTTTAAAAATACTTTTTTATTGATTTCAGAGAGGAAGGGAGCAAGAGTTAGAAACATCAATGATGAGAATCACTGATGAGCTGCCTCCTGCACGCCTCCTACTGGGGATTGAGCCTGCAACCTGAGCATGTACCCTTGACTGGAATTGAACCTGGGACCCTTTGATCTGCAGGCCAACACTCTATCCACTGAGCAAACTAGGCAGGGCAATACATATTTTCCTTGAATCAATGAACAAAAAGCTGTGTATTCTGTGATTAGTGTGAGGCTCTGATGCATATCTGCCTCGGTGCATATCCTGGCTCTATTCTCTGAAAATCTGCTCCTTTGGGTTATATACCCCCTCTGAGCCTCAACATCCTTATTTATAAAATGAGATGATAACAGACACTGAGTGCTGGCTGTGTGCTATTTTTCTAAGTGCTTTTTAATGGATTACCTCATTTAATTACACTCCAATATCCCTCTGAGGCATATGCTTCATTCTCCTCAATAAAAATGGGGGAATTGAGGCATAAAGAATTTAAGATAATTGCCAAGAATTCCACAATGAGGAAAGGGCAGAAGCAGGATTTGAACTCAGAGCCTGCTCTGTCAATTGGTTTGTAAATGAAAAAGAGTAGGCCGTCTCTGAATAGTAGTCATTCATATCTACTAGGATAGGATTCCTTTCACAGTATCAAACTGTCTTTTATTATTTAAAATACAAAGCAAGTTGTAACTGTCAATTCGTTTTCATATTTTTTCTGGAAGTAAAAATTATATTGCGAGAGAATCTTTTTCAGGATAAAAATGTGTTTCTGCTTTTATAGCTTTATAACTGCCTTTATAACTTATCTAAATTAATAAACAATTCTTTACATATTTAAAAAGTATTACTATTCAGATCACCTGTTTCCAACTATGATGTTAATATATTATAAGAATTCATAGTTAGATATCTGTTTTAAAATTAGAGACTTTTTCAAAATGGTTCACTACTTACCAGCTTTTAACTAACTGCACTGAAGAGGTATTTACTAATTGATCAGGGAGGATATCAATTTCCTTCAGGATATTGGCAAGCCTCACAGGTAATTCTTGTCTCAAAAATGCAAAAGAAGTTCTTTCACATGCATTTTCCGAACCTGTAATAAATAACACTTATTTAGTATTTGGAAACGAGTATGACCAAATGACATATTTGAATAGCATTAACTATACAGTATTAAATACACACATATATTATAAAATTATATTTCACCCTAATTTCATTTACTGTTCAAAAGTGCCTTCTAGTCTTTTTCTAATTTTAAAGTTATCAATATGAGAATTATTGTTTTGTTTTGGAAGAGGATTCACTTCCAAAGAGTCCGAATATTCTACAGCTCTTAATATTCATAAAAGAATGCAGGGTTCAGTCAACGCCACAATGTTCAGAGTTCTAGATATGAAACTGGAGTGGGAGATAAGGGAGTTGGGTGGAGGTCATGTTGTTTCCAGACTAATAATAATACCACATTTAAGTCCTTGACATTTTCCTTGTAAGGTCACTGCAGAATGTCTGTAAATATTTTCAGCAGTAATGCAAATATATGACAAACTTTAATTTGATAAAGAAACAAAGAAATTTGTTAGGAACGCAGAGATGTTCCCTGTGGAGGGTGGCTAAGGGATAAAAATCTCAATTAATTCGAGGCTATTTTATAATATTAGGAACCTTCTCCAAGAAGTACTATGAAAGTTCCTCATTCATTGTTCAATGTTGACTGAAAGCAAAAAGTATTGTGACGGAAGCTTTGGACGGATAGAAGAGGAAAGATGAGCTCAAAACACCCAGCCTCAGTGAAGCTACAAGTGGCCTCTACCTGTAAGCAGGTACCACCTGTCAGAAAGAAGCCAGATGTAGAAGAAGGCAAGGGGCGCTGGCGAGGGGCTCCGGGGCAGCAGGAAAACGGGCCCCAAGTTGTTTTTAAGCAGTGAGACCAGCCCTCCCTGCACCGGGACTGAAAGTTCAGGCAGCTCCCCAGCTCCCGCGCCCCGGCCCGGGCCCTGCGCCCTGCGCCCCGGCTCACCGAAGTCCAGCAGCTGCTTCATGGACAGCGGGGACGGGCTGTACCGGGAGAAATGCTCGACCTCGCGGGGGACCAGGCTGGTGCGGCTCAGCGTGCCGGCGCCGCGCATCACGAAGCGGACCGCCTTCATCTTGGGGCCCACCGGGTGGGTCTGGCGGGGCTGGGCTGGCTCGAGGGCGAAGGCTGCGAGGAGCGGAGCCTGGGACCTGGGAGCGGACGGCGCGTCGGGCGAGGAGCGCAGGTGAGCGGGCAGGCAGGTGCACCCGGTGTGGGCTGAGGATCGGGGTGTTCGGAGTAGAGGAGTGAATCGGAGAAGCAGTGGCTTGAGGATCTAGAGCTCGTCTTGCCTCCTCCGCTTCTCTGGCGGTTTTATTTGTTTCCCGGGGACGCTCCCCCCAACTCCAAAGGGGAGGAGTCACCGGGAGTTGGAGAGGCGTCCCGGGCCTGGGACCGGGCCAATCTGCTCAAAGGTAAGTAGGCTCGAGATCAGAGATCAGCCACTTGGGACAGGGCCCCGGATCGCGTGGGCTGGAGGCCTGCCCAGACTCGTCCTTGTTTACAAGTGCAAGGCTGTCTCAATGTCACGCATTCCTAGCCTGAAACTACTTCCAAGAATCTGGGCTCTGGGAGCTCATTGGTTCTTGCTCAGAGCGGGCTTTTACAGTAGCCAGTGAGCTGCGTGCAAAAAGTATGGGCTCCTCTGCCATTGGACAGCGAACGGTATAAGCGACCTAAAGAGTTCTTCCAGCCAGAGAACAGCACACGTCTGGAACTGGAAGTACCTTTAGCAGGGCTTGAAAAGCTGCCAAAATACATGAACTTCCTTGTGGCAATAAAAGGCCATTAATTTGTTTCTCTCCATTAGGTTTAACTCTGTTGATTAAAAACAAAATAAAAAGAATCAGTTTGTGTCAGTTTGACTCCCCTTTTCTTCCCCCCTCATCGAGAACTTGCTGGCTCTGGTCCCCTGTATGAAATGTCCTTAATCCAAATCTTTGCCCCAGACTCTCTTTCCTAGCCTTAAATGCCCAGCAAGAACTATGAGATCTTTCCTGATTGTTTCTCCCCGCCCTTCCAAATATGGCCTTTGTCACTTACAACATTACATTGCAGCTATTTATGTTCTTTTTAAAAAAATATGTTTTAAAATTTATTTTAGAGAGAGAAGAGAGAGAGAAACATTGATGAGTGAGAACCATCCATCACCTGTCTCCTGCACACCCCCACGGGGATCAGGTAGGATGTACCCTGACTGAGAATCAAACTGGAGACCTCTAGAGGCATGGGACATGGTACTCAGCCAACTGCCACACACCGCTTGCTCCAGCCTGGACCCCATCCCCTGAAAGACATTAGGTTTGGGACTATGCTGAATGCATGTTTGTGCTTCCTGCTGTTCAAGCTGGGGAAACATGAGGTAAGTTCCAAACTGAATCTCCACTTGGAGACGGGACTTGATACTACTATGATTTATATTTTTGTATTCTGAATCCTTTGTTACATATTTGCATAGCTTGATAAAGCAAAAAAAAAAAAAAATGTGTTCCAGGACCCAAAAGACTAAATAAAACTCTCTTGGATGAGGAAAGCAAAGGTAAAAATCCCTTTTTTTTCCTGGATTACATCCTAAGAACAGAAGTAATAGGAAAGTATGCATTTGCTTTTTCTTGCCTTGTGTATGGGATCTGGGGTAGGCAAAAATATTTATTGTAAAGAATTATACTCTTTAATCTGCAGAGGAAAGACAGTGGAAATGATACATTATAGGAGTTCTAATTTAGGAAAACCCCACGGAGTTCTTGGCCTGGCTTACCCAGCACTATTGCCCTGTGTGTTGGGTGATGATTAAAGGTCAGGTGAAGTCTTATGATGTTCACAGAGATGGCTAAGGGCTAAATGTGGTCCGTCACCAGACTTGTGTGTCCATGTCATCCCATCCACTAATATCAGGTTACCCTCACCATGACCCCCATCCTTTAATGTCATTTCTATGATGGGAACTGTTGTTATAATTGGCAACATTTATGGTAGCTGGACTGGAAAAGCAGGTCAAATGGTTTACCCAGTTGGCTAAAACACTATGTATTACCAGTATCCCCTGCTTCCCGAAAGTTCGTGTTAACGTCACTTTGTTTGTATGAAAGGCCTGTACCTGTTTTCTCTAACTGAAAGAAATCTGAAGAGGATTTTCACTTTTCTGAGGAAAAGGGAAAAGCAGAAATAGCATTTAGTGTTTGCGCCCTAGCAAGCCGTATAGAGGCAGCACGTACCTGAAGCAATTTCCCCAGAAACTACACTTAAGCATCTCGGCATCAAACTGCCATCACTTTGAACTGTGTCTGTGAACATCTGTGTGTAATCTTAACTTATTTTGTACATCTGCTAGGAAGATGTGTCCTAAGGTGCCAGAAAAACCCAAGAGCGCTTATAAGGTTGCTATGCTTAGCATAAAACTGGATGTAATGAAGTGGATTTGGTATGATTCGGTAGGCTATTTTTGGGTATGGGAACGCTTAAAGATTTTTCCATGTAAATTAATGGTAATTGCTTCTTTGCTTTATGCCCCTTCAGCTTTCAAAAGGTTTCATAAAAATGCTCTACTTTTGGGTAGCAGGGGAAACCTGTGCCATGATCAGTGTGTGACCAGGAAGGGATATATTTTCAGGCTGGCCACAGATCTTGGAGGTGATCCAGTTGCTACAGAAGTAAAGCAAAGGGAATTATTTGGGGGCAATGGGTATGGACAAATCTGTGCATTCATTTGAGTAAAGGTAAACATGAGAGGACTATCAAATGATTTGGTGCTAATGGTCAGGGGGGAGTACTAACGTTTCCCCCTTGTACACAGTGCTGAACGCAGCATCTCTGCTAGAGGCACCCAATTTCTGAAATTTTCGGGGGCATGTTTGCCTAACGTTAAATGAATTCTACCCAGCTTGCCTAGCAAAATCTAGTAACATAAGGCCACTGGTAGAGTTTTAAAAATGCAAGTCGCATTTTTGCCAGAGGGCTGGGCATTTACAATTTGATAAAATACATCTAGACCTTTAAAGAGATACCTATTCAACTTTTCCACCTGTAAGAACATATTTCAAGGAAGCAATTAAAATATATGTTAATATACACATCAAAGTTGCCACCTTACTTCTCAAACTAGAATAGTTCTCTGGTTTTGGGGGTGAGGATGAGAATAAAAGTTAAAGGAAATTGACAATAGCTCATATGAACCCTAAGAGGGGGTTAGTGTATGGGTCATAGAACTGTAAGTAAGTTTCATGGATCTGAATAAACAGAAAACCTATATCTCAATTCCTCAGGTTTCCCGAACTTGTGTAAACACTTTTGGCTTCTTCTGTGGGTCATAATCTAGCTGCTCAAATGAGGGAGGGGGTCATGGGTTTATAGGAAATATTGGCGGGAAACATATATGGTTAATAATTTGAATATTATATGCACAAACATATGCATAAGATATGTAGGAAGAAAATGCCAAGAATGTTCATAGTGGTAATTTTGGGGTGGTAAAATTATCACTATTTATATTTGCTTTTTTTACGCTTTTCCAAATGTTAAAGAATGAAACATGTATAACTTCTTATTTATAAGGAAAATAATTTTTTTTCCTAAAGTTAAAATGAAAATAGACGTAGCAAAAGAACAGGCAGAAGAATCTGGCAGCTATCTGTTCAAAACAGGCTTTTGACCAAATTGGAAGGCAGAATCAGGACAGGGAAGTGGGTCAGTTGCTCTTCTGCTCTCTGTTTCCAACCCCTCTGGGCATACCAAGAAGCTTGGAGACTCCAGACCCAGGAGCCCGAAATCAGGTCTTTCTCTTCCTTATCATTCCTGCCTTTGTCTCCTGTAGACTGACATTGAGCTACCTGTCAGCTGAAACAGTTCTGCGGCTTTTACCTGTTCTCTGATTGCTGATCATTGCCTAGATTTTCTGAGACTATCACCAAGTGGAACATTTCTTCTCCTCTTGAAAACACACACACACACACACACACACACACACACACACACACACACACCAAATAGAAATCTCTTACTTTGAAAGTTCCAAGTTTTGCTCAAGTCCAGCCTTGGTTTGTATAACACTGACTGGCTGCCTTAGACAACCTCTTCTGGTGTTCCATATAACAAAAGAAACACAATCAGGCAGCAGGTCATCTGGAAGGCAATTGTAGAGGTCACTTCCTTTGGTGATTCCTTTCTTAACCCAGTGCAGGGGGTGGTCAAAATTGTATTTCCATCCCACTGAATATCCGCTTAAAAATGGAAAAATTTAGTCACTTATACAAACATTCCTTACTGTCTGGTGAATTCAGTCGATGCATGCGTACTAGCCTATTAGAATATGCAATGCTCAGTATGTCCATATGCTTAGCAACCAAAGGACGGATGCACTGATGTCACACTAAAATCTTCTGTTTGTTTGAAAACACTGGTTTCAGCAAGTACATGTTGTGCAAGGGATTGGTTCCCCTCCAGCTATGGCTGGCACCACCACCAATAGTTGGTAGCATCCTCTCCTATTCCATCTGGTTTGTCCTCAGGACTCTTCTCAACATAAGCATCATCTGGAGATCAGTGAGTGAGTGAACCCAGTTTGGGAGATGCAACCCCTTGTTTTTCTTGGGCTGCGGGTCCAAACCTCCACATTATGCCCTGCAGAAGCCCGTCCCCCCATCCCCCCATCCCCCTTTCCATTAGAAAGAACTGCCTTTAGAGAGACTGTTACCAGCAAATAGGAAAGTCATTCATTCAATCCAACACTTGCACTTGCAGAGGGAAAACTGAGGCAGGGGACCATGAAGTCCCCTAAACCACACAGCTACTCTTCAGATGCAACATAAATCTTTGGCACACTCCTCTGAGGCTTGGAAAGTCTAAGATTTGTTTTTTTAGCCTTTCAGATGCTTTGGAACTCAGAATGCCTGCTCCTCCTCTTGGCCAAAACCAGGCCACTGTGTGAAGCTGAGTTCGAAAACAAACCAAAAAGGTAACTGGGCACTCAATAGCTTGTTTCTTCAGGAACACAGATCTCC